ACTTTGGCGCCTATCATTGGGGCCCGAATTTGAAGTTGAGTAGATTAGAAGGATCATCTGACTCTACTAAACTACTCTACTTTGAGTTCGTGCCCTGAAAATTGGCGTCAGAGTCGTACTAGTCATCACGAACTTCGCCGCGCAAGTTGCCGCGCGCATCCTCGGACGCACGTTCGTACCGTCCCCCACGAAACTGAAGTGGTGCACGTCAGTGAAATGAAAACATGATCATTATATATAAGGTACAATTGCGCCCAAGCGCTCAGTTCTTCTCTCGAACCTTCTGCAGAGTGGATGCACGCGCTTCCTCCAATTCCTTTCATTCTCTCCGAAATGTTTATCAGTCTAACGACTAATCCACAACTTCCATTTTGGTCCACTTGATTTAATGCTCGTTATCCAGCGTTGTGCCACCGTCAATTTAATAATCTCAGTTTTTCAAGATATGACTATTATGCTGCCTTCTTCTCGTAATCATCCGCATTACTTGGCGAATCATCCTATGGTCATCGGTTTACTCAAACAATTTTCAGAATCACATCTGTTTGCCCCTACCGGAATCACATCTGCTCGCCCCTACTATAAGCTCATGTCATCCAGTGATCCTTGTTCGCTCAAAGGGAATCAAAATAATCTCGTCCATCTCCAATAGTTAGTCTTAAGCTTTCAGGTATCGTCTTTGCTCCTAATCTCAGTAAATGATTCTACTTCACCTTTTTATATTCATCACAAACAGGAAGCTTGAACCTCGAAAAAAAAAGTTACTTGATCACCACCCTCGAATTCGGGATGCAAAATGAGCTTACCTCTCTCGCTCCCTGGCTTCAGCAGCTTCTCGCTCAGCTTGTTCACGTTGCAGTCGCTTCTCCTCCTGCTCTCTAGCTTTTCGCAGTGCTTCTTGTGTTTTTCTGTATTCCAAGGCTCCTGCAAATTTACAGTAATCGGCATATAAGAAATGTTTTCAACTCATAGTTGACTCCAAATTTCACTACTTTAATTCTACATTACAAATGTTCTCGTTAAAGATAGATCACACCCAAACGTAATAACTTAGTGCTAAGAGTACAAGTACCCAACAGTATTTGATGAGCCGATTCATTTTCATCAGCAAACTTTGAATTCAACTGAAAATGGCATCTATGCCATCCAAACAAGTAGTGAACATGGAGAATGTACACTAAAGAATACTGAATCAAAAATTACGAAAAAGGCGTACCCTCCGTGAGCCCGACTGGCAACAATAGCGGTCTACGGCGTTCTGTTTCCACTACGAAAGTGTGTTGAGACGCAGCCGTACCCAATCGTTGCTCACTGCTTCTTGCTCGTCTGGAATTACTAATGTAAAGGATGTCTGCTTGAAATGTTCGTGAAGGGATGCATAGTGATCCATTGGAGATGGGTTTAGATCAGTGACGAGCGGGTGTGGTCCCTTTATGAAATGTCACACAACTTCACCAGAGGAAATGATGTCAGTAAATCCATCCATTTCCTTTTCCTGATAGCTCTCCGAGTAAGTCAGCTAACTTTAATTAGTCCACAGTGATGAGCTTGGTTTTACTGTAGCTAGTATGACCAGAAAAAGGATGTCTGGCAAAGCAACAGATAATTTTCCCTGAACCTAATGCCGTATAAACGTTTTTGCATTTTTTCCGCATTTTCTACGCAGGAATGAAGAACCGTTGAGAAGCGCCACATGGGTAAACGTGGGAGGGGAGGGGGGGTGGGGTGGGGTGGTAGTTTCAGATTCTCTCGACATATTCGAGGACAACCTGAGGTGTCGAGGGAATCTGAAATAAGAGCTACTTTTGGCTCGTATCGAATCTAATATAAGAAGTGCTTGGGTGCTTGGTACTTTTGATGATTGGACAGCTTTGATTTCAAATCTAGAGCTAGTTGAAGACAAAAGTCAACTCCTTGAGAAGGAACGACTCTGATACAATGAACGGAATTCATACAGTATAGTGTCCTTCTGAGGAAGACAGTGGGAAAGGAGGCCGAGGATATTAGCAGACTATATAGAGTTCTTAGTTGGGACCAACCTGGGATCATGAGTTGTTTTCACCACCTTGTGATTCCGTAATACCTGTCCAGGAACTGTCGCTTGAACGTCAGGGGACAGCTGAAAAAGAAAGAACTCTAATGAAAGAGATCTCCATAGATTAAACATAGATTTTGATTTCACAGAGGGTGAGTACCACAGTCTCTTGCCTGCGATTTCTAGCTTTTAACCCTTTAATAGAATCTCCTCTTGAAAAAAAAACCCAAGGTGAAACTTAATAACATAACGAAGAGAAGCAGCTGTTCATAAAAATGATCAGGACTTTTAAAATTTTCAGAGTTTTTTCTATTGGCTCAATTCGGATGCTGAGAATTAACATTCACAATCCTATATAAGTGCACTTTTGCTGACTTGAGTTTAAGTTGAACGATAGATGTAAAGCTCACTCATTAGTAAATGAAACAGTGCAGCCTGGATTTGTGCCATTGTGGTCGCAAAGAATGACTGAAAGAACATCTGACAATCAATGTGAGCAGGATGGATGTTCAACATCGCACCCTTTTTCATTCAAGAGGTGAGCAATCGAGTGAATCAGATGTTGGGTGGTCAGTGGAAGGTGAGAAAAATATGGTGGCAGAAAGAGAATCCGAATCCACTGAATTTTTTCGTAACATTTGGGCGCGCATTGCTGTGCACAAAAAGTACTTCACTTATAGGATGCTTCAGTTCGGCTTTAGAGAGAGTTCATGCAGTCACAAGCAGATGTCCGCATCTGCGGTGGCGTCATCTAGAAGGTGTCGTGTCTACAGCTTAGACAACCTGTCGCACACAGAGAAACACCTTGTTTAGGTGAATTCCGCGTGTATTAATCACCCTCTTTTCATGGTAAGCAGGTGAGCTTAAATTCAAAGCTACGCGAGCTGACAATTGTTGTATTGGGTTGTCCGAAAAGTTTCCGCCGATTTTGAACACCCTTGGCTCCTCAACTGTTGTACAAAAGATCAAGGACTTATCCTTATAGGGTTTTCTGAAAGGGCAGGTCCTCTTCTATATAGCTGTGGGATTCAGTTTACATTTGTCAAAGTTTTTCAGTACAGGACTCGTGTGAAAATTGAAAACCATTGCGTGCCATCATCTTTTAAAACGACCAAATCAAAATGTTCACGGAAGTAAATCGGCACAGCACTTCTCGTAGAGTACGACAAAGGCTTAGGGTTTCAAAACCAACCATCCATGACCATCTGCTGGAACTTGGTTTTGTAAAGCGCCTTGATGTTGGGATACCTCACGAAAGGAGCGAGCGCAATATATACCGCCACAATCCGCTGCAAAGATCAAGATCCAGGTGCGGAAGACTATGCTGTGCTGTGGTTGGATTGGAAGGAAATCAGTTATCATNCATGACCATCTGCTGGAACTTGGTTTTGTAAAGCGCCTTGATGTTGGGATACCTCACGAAAGGAGCGAGCGCAATATGATGGACCGCGCCTCTGTGTGCAACTCCTTGCCCGAACGAAACAAAAATTTGATGTTTCTAAAACGTACGGAGGACGAAAAATGGATCGTGCACAACAACGAGGAGCGTAAACGATCGTCGAGCCTTCGCAGTGAGCCGCCACAATCCGCTGCAAAGATCAAGATCCAGGTGCGGAAGACTATGCTGTGCTGTGGTTGGATTGGAAGGAAATCAGTTATCATGAGCTGTTGTCACATAATCAAACGATAACTTTTGGAAGGTAGTATACCTAGCTTGACCATTTGGAGGCCGCAATAGACCAAAAGCGACCCGAGCTGGCCAATCATTAGGGCTTGCCTTCCAGACTATACGGAGGGTGTGACAAAAGCCCTCCGTATAGCCTGAAAGGCAAGCCCTAATGGTTTTGGAGGACAAAAACACTATTTTTGGCCACTCCTCAAAAATTGCTGGATGTTGGGTGGGATGTCTTGTCACACCCTCCGTATAGTCTGGAAGTAGCACCATCGGAATACCAGCAGCTTAAGAGCGAGGAAAGGCCGATAAAGGTGAATGGCTAAATTGCTATCAAGACGAACAGGACTCATGTGAACATCACGTACTCTGAGTAAGCGGTGACATCTACGAAAATTCTCAGACTATACTCAAGGACTGATGGGTGCCCCTTGTAATGACCTACTACCGAAGTGATGTAGTTGGGAGGTTTTTCTCAGCTCATCCTCGGAGGAATGCCTTACAGCTAGACAACCTCGCTGGAGATGGTGAATACTTATAACCAACGCAGCGCCCAGTACCATGACCATTCAGTCATTCGAAAAGACCGGAAGACGTGTTTTTTTTTTGCTGAATTTTTTTTGAATTTTAAATTTGGACTCACTTTTCAATGGATAAAGAGTGAAGAATAACTACACTTCAATGAAAAGGGAGTTGAAAGTTTTAAGGGTGAAGAAATACGCAGAGCGGATTATTAGAGTGTGGCGCTGATCACTGAAGAGACAAAGCCAGAAGTAGCCATTCTGATGAACTTGATTGAAGGAGTATCAAACAGTTTTTCCTCGTGAAACAGAATGAAGTGTAGGTTGGTGTGTTCCTCAGTGGTGCCAATTTTTTCGCAAAAATTTTCTTCCGAGCAAGGGATTTTTTTCATGAAGGTATTTTTACTCCTGAGGAATCCGAAGAATTAAAATGAATTTTCTTCGCAACTACATAGCAGCTAATCTAAGTCGTTATGAGGGGGTGATATGGACTAGAGACCCTCTGTCTTGTCGAAGAATAAATAAAACGTAATACCGAATTTTGTTCAAAGCAATTTGGTGGAAGTCCATATAGCCGTTTTCCTTTAGTCATTTCGACAAACAAAGGTGGCCCTACCCTCAAACTGAGCTTTCCATCGTTCATAAAGCATTTAGCGAAGGCTTCTCATTCTGAGTTCATTAACAAAACAAACTTGTCAAATTGTCACCTTCATTTGACTAGTAACTAATCAGTAAGGTAAAAAAGTCAACGATGGGTTGCTACCTAAAAAGAAGTTGCTTCACTGGTTAGGCTGTTCGCGGACCTTCTTTCTGAAGATTCATTTCTTGCTGACCCCGGTCAATTTCGAACTCTATTAAAGAGCCAGAGAGCCGAAGAACCCGAAAGTTGCTCATTTTTTTTATTAAGGGCATGCAAACATCCATTTTTTTCGGACAAAAGAAAAGGAGCTAGATTTGAACTTTCGAAATAATTGAATATCATTAGGAAAGATCAAGTTCAGCCCGGCTCACGTAAAAAGGTTGTAGAAAGGTAAAAAAAATCGTGCACCTATTATGGATTGCTGAAAATTTCGGTAGATTGCGTAGCTCAGCAAGAGCGCATACTTAAAATTTGAATGTGCGTACTGTGGCTCTGGTTTGATTACCACTTCAAAAAGTTTGGTTTACTTCAAACAAAGTCTGTCCAGTTGCAGCTCACAGGCTATTCAAGGGTGGTGCGAAAATGTGAGCTGTCCAAACTTATCATCACGCAAGTACCGAAACGAGCTTTGAGGAAGATCTGGAAAGAAATGAGTAAAGTTTCAGGCAAGCAACGAGTGAGAAGTCCAAGAAGGGGCTGAGTCCAGTATACGGCCAGTGGACGACATTGGAAACTGACTGAGGCATGTCGTTTTATGTTTTATGAATGAGGTTGACTCAAAATTCATAGCAATTTTCTTTTTTATGAAGTCCTGCAAAACATTGCATTTTTTTATTAATATTCGCCTGTTATTCGGAATACCCCTAACAGAAGGGATTGGAAAAGGTTCGATCAATGATATGGTATACAGAAGCGCTTAAAAGTATTCGGCCAAGCCTTTTCGGCCGAAACTTTTTTCTAAGTCGAGCAAATCGGATGAAATTTTGATATGTTTAGCTGAAGCATATTTTACACTGTCCACACTACTTGACTGCAGAGCAGCCATATCCACATACTAATGGGGGNTGTCTTCAATAACTGAGCTATTAACTCTATTCTCCGTGATCCATCACTTACACGGAACGGGTAACAATTTTTGTGACCCAATGAATCGAGGTATGATTGTTGAAAAGCCAATGTCCCTTGCCAGGAATCTGAGAAATGCATTAACGTTGAATGCCGTACTGAGAGGAGATGATAATTTCGTAGAAGTTATACTAGTAGAAGTTATATTGATTTAGTGGATCTTTGCAGCCAAAGTGGGCCCTTCTCTAAGCTCATTGGAAAATGTCACAGGTCCAGCCTCTCTAATTTTTCTGCTGTTGGCACTGCTGTGGTACTCTGGACAAGCACTGGCAATCGGCAGACTATGGGAAAACGCATAAACGTCGCTGGAATGACGAGCTGAAGCTGTGAGTGGGAAAAGTTCAGTCAGACGGAAATTCGGCGTTTATGAAGGATTCCTCAACTGTATGTCTTCTCAGGTGGACATCAAACAAATCCTTTCCTACGTACCAAATCTATTCAACCCTGTTTGAGTATGATGGCATCAACTAGGAACGGGCTTAAGTAAACGTTCATTCTGAATTAGATCATGCTTTAAAGGATAAAAATGGTTACTGAGTTCTTCCCTTAGAAATATCCAGTGGCCCCCATGGATGGTAGAAGGGACCCTCTCGGTCCCGAAATCTCGACGGCCAGGGCACAGTGGAAGCCCTTTTCAAAGCGATCCTTTTTTAATTTCCTACTCCAAGAGGCCAAATAAGGTGAGCTATTTTGTTGCTGTAACTAGGGTTTTTTTGTTTACTCATGCTTATAAGTGAATGAATTTTGCTTACCGTAGTCAGTTATTTGCTCCAGGACCCACGCGTACGGAACGACGCACTGTGCGTAGCTCGTCAAAACGCCCCACTCTTCTTCATTCTTCTGGTCTCTTTCTCGTTCAGCCCCCTTTTTAACGATTTTTCGAAGCTGTTTTTCACTATGGAAACACCTATCCACGCAGTTCCTTCGCCTCCATCGCACTATTTTCCATCTTCCATTTTTCGTCATAATATGGGTTACACAAAATTATCGTGAACTGTGCCTTAGAGTCAAGCATATAGAAGATGGATCCTCAAGACATAATTATCTCGAGTATACTTGAGGGATCGTGAAATGCAAAGGTTCAGGATTCTCGGATGACCGAGCGGGTCAACGAGTTTGATTGTGAGTACCATAGATCACTTGTGGCGAGAGTCTTGTAGGCATTGTTCGGGGAAATCGATTGAAATAGTAAAAATCGACTAATGTGCTGAACCAGTAATCGAAGAGTGGGCGTTAAGCCCTTCACTGCCATCCAAATGTTCACGAACTCACTTTCTCTTTTCTGTGTTTTCTACCGGTGAGAATCGCCTCGTATATATACTTACCCTGTTCAGTATGTGAGGAATTGTTTGTAACTAACCTTTGGTATACGAGGATCTATTTCATTATCAGTACTTCAACTAATATTGTGTTCTCTTCGTTGAACACAAATCTTGGTTTATTCAATTCTCAAGAAGAAATTTCCAATTAAAACAGCTTATGTGTATACAGCATCGTGTTTCTATAGACTTTTGCTTCTGCGAATTTTTTTTTGGAAAACTTCCCTTTCTGGTTTGAAGTTTATACGTATGTTACTGAAAAGTTCGAGCAGCTTGTTAATGATTGGGAGAGCCGCGGTCGGCACTCACACGAATCGTGGAATCTACAGGGTGACCCACATGAAGTGTGACGCAGAAAACTAGCATCAAAATTATACAATTCAAACCAAATAGGAGACATCTACTCTTATACAATCATCACAAAATTGTAAACAACATATCAAATCTCGCATGCAGAATGACCATATTTCGCTTTAATGCAAGCATCCAACCTCATTCGGAAGTTTTC